AGAGAGAGGGGAAAAGAGAGAGAGAAAAGAGAGAGAGAGAGAAAGAGAGAGAGAGAGAGAGAGAGAGAGAGAGAGAGGGGAAAAGAGAGAGAGGAAAGAGAGAGAGAGAGGGGGAAGAGAGAGAAAGAGGAAGGGGTTGGCGGCGGGGCCGAGAGGGTGTGGGTGGAGGAGGGTGACGGCCATGAGAGGGTAGGGTGGGGTTAGGTGGCAGTGAGGAGATGGTGGGGTGCTAGGGTTTGGGAAAGAAGATGAGGGATGTTCTTTTTTATTTATTTAAAGTTCAGGGTTTAGGATTTTAGTTTATCAAGTCACTTTTACCGTTAACTACTTACGTGAAAATAGATATGCCACGTAGACCCAATCATATGGTGCCACGTGGTCCGACAATATTATTAATTAATAAATAATAAGAAAACATTAGTAATTAAATAATGTATGACACTAAAATTAACTTTGTTTGGCAAAAGTTAACTCCAACCCGTATCACCAAATTCTATTGCGATGTCTGACACGAGATTGGGGGCACAACTTTACACGTATCTAATACCCCTAAGACCCCTTTTGTCAGTTCTCACAATTCCAAAGACCCTGCTCCTGATTCTGCTTTAATCATTACTACATATACACTGGGTTCTATATTACATACTTCTGCCCCTCCTCGTTATCAAAACGGGTAATAACTCTACCCAACATGTTGGAGACTCTAGGCACACCGATCGATCTGTTTGGTCACAGCTGACTAGTCGTTCAAATGAGCTGACCTTTAGCTCTACATCGACACCAATATTACTCTCTAACCAAAACGACCGGTCATCAATTTTCATGTTTTGATAATGTAAATTGTTAAGTACAATGAAATAAGTTTGTATGTTCCCTGCCTTAGCCTCTTAGAGGACTTTTATCAAACTGTTAGGTCCCACCATAACATAATGTGCTCAAGAGCAACGTAACCTCTAGTGGATCCACAACACGATGTATGGTACATTTTAAATTAGGGATCATCATTGGCCTGGGCCGGGATCGAGCCGGGCTTTGATGGGCTTTTTTATTTTTCAAGTCGAGTTAAGGTTTCAAAGGGATCACCCCGAGCCCGCCCATCGGACCGAGCCTAGGCGGGCTTTCCAGGTTGGGCTAGGCCAAGTAGGCACGCCCATTGCCCTAAGTAAATGTGTTGTCTTTTTTACTTTATATTACTCTATTTACTTAAGTTTACAATGTAAATAAGGAAGTACCCCTATTTGGATTCAATTAAAAATACTAGAAAATGAAATTCCAAACAAATCAAAATATGAAAAATTAAGTTTTAGTATAAGATATAGTTTATACCAGTATTGGTACCTCAACATTGACTAATTATGAAAAATGAACTTTTTGAAATACTAATGTTTTCAATAATATTTTTGGCGGTTTATATTTCTTACATTTTAAATAATTAAACACGATCTTATGAGATTTTATTATAAAGTATATACATTGACTTATTGAGGTATCAATATTGATATAAACTGTATCTTATACTAAAACTGAATTTTTAAATTTTGATTGTTGGGAATTTGAATTTCTAGTATTTTTAATTTAATCCAAATGGGGGGATGAAAATAAGGTAATATAAGGCAATGGGCGGGGCCGAGCAGGCCTAATTAAACATCGGGTCAGGCTAGACTTTGGCCCATCAAGCCTTGGGTTACCTACTTTGGCCCGCAGATCGCGGACCAAATGATGATCCCTATTTTAGATAATCCATTCCAGCTTATTTATATCCGGCTCAAGTGTTTCAGTATTTTCCCAATTACTTGTTTCTCCTTTTAGTTCTTTGTTGAATTTCTAGACTACTAATTGCTGTCTTGTACCTAACACACTAAATAAAAGAAGGAAGTCCCTTGGGTATGATAGCCAAAATCATCATCATTAGTAATATGATAAAAGCAGGTATAGCACAAACTTACCCCATGATCTGATGCACTAGTTTCCAAAGTGCTTTCTGAAATGTCAAGAGATGTCATGCCCCTATCATTCAAGACCTTTAAGTTGGTCCTTCTATCGAAAGTGAAAAGGTCCACAACCTTATGATGATGGTACATCTTTGCCAAGTGCAATGGAGTATTTCCTCTGTTGTCTTTTTGGTTTATCAACATTTGAAACTCAACCTTCTTGAAAAAATATTTGACAAGATTGTCCTCGCCACATCTTGCTGCAACATGGAGTATATTTTGGTCACTTGAGTTCCTCAATTCCATTGAATCGGGACAATGTCGAAGCAGCTCTTTAACAATGTCGATATGACCTTTGCTTGATGCATAATGGATTGGAAAGTTGCCACAATGATCCTTTCGATGAGAATCCATGAGACGTCTGCCTAAGAAGCGAACCCCTTCTAGATAACCAATTGATGCTGCACAATGCAGTGGAGTCCTCCCTTTCTCATCTTTTGAGTTCAAAATATTTGCTTCCATGTTTGATATTATCTTTAGGACTTCTGGCGTCAATAAATAAATCAAATATAAATTAGAACAACATGATTATAATGATAATGTTTTTCTATGAAGAGGTTGTAATATCTATCAAAATCTATCACATTGGTCGTTGTGACAAAAAAAGAAGCCACATTAATATAGGCCCTAGCAATTCAATAACTCTAGACCATAACCTACCAATAATAAAACCTTTAAATAAAACCCAATTTTAAGATTAGATGCCATATAGGATAAAATGTATTCATGTAATTTGATTTATTTACCAATTATGTCATTAAATAGACAGTTTTTTAAGCCCCTAATTTTAAGCAATGGAATAATGACCTACAATCCAAATGAGTGCTACTATTTCTAACCACCTGTCCTATTTTCCCACCCACTTTATTTTCAAAATTTTAAAGATAAATTTATCTCTTTGTAAAATGACTTCTAAGGACCTAAGAAAAAAACTTTTTTAAAGCATTTCAAATAAAACAATAAACTAAAATTAAAATAAAACAACATTTTTTTCATTTTGTTGGATTTGGTGGCAGCAGAAATGAATCTGTGTTCCTCATTTCCTTTGTTTTTTTATCGATTCTTTCGGGTGGTCTCTTTTTTTGTTGGTTGTGGTTGCTAGTTTTTTTTTTTTAATTTTTTTTTTTATATAATAAAAATCAAGTGTTGTGGAGCCTTATCGACCCTTTTAATACAATCGTTTCTCTTTTAAAAAAACTCACTTGGTGTATGAGATTAAGGTCCAGTTTGGGATTGCTGTCACTTTAAAAAAAAGTTGCTTCTACTGTGCTTTGAAAATAATTAGCTGTAAAGTAAAGCAGCTCCATGTTTGGTAAACAATACTTTTAAAGTGTTGTTAGTACAAAAAGCAGTGTAAAAAATGTTTGGTAAATTTTAATATAAAATTGTTGTAACTGTGAATAATGACTAAAATAGACATGATGTTAAAAGTGTTATGTACTAATCATGTGGTTGTGGAGGTAGTGAATGTGGTGGTGCAAGTGGTGGAGTTGGATGTGGAAGTGGAGGTGGTGTCATTTTTTAAAATGAATGATGGTATTTTGGGAATTAAAAAAATTCATTAAATGTTCATCTCTGCTTCTTTAGAAAGCAGCTTTGAAAAGCTACTGTCAAAAGGCCATTGCTTTTAAAATAATTGGGATATTTTCTTTTTACCAAATACCTTAAACTGCTTAACTTTAAAGTGAAGCAGGTTTTTGGTGAAAAAAAGCAATCTCAAACGGGGCCTAAAGCCTCTCCCTCTGATTCTTTACTATTTTTTTCTTTTCTAGAATTTTGTTTCTGTTTTTTTAACTCTTATGAATTCATGGTGAATTAGCGTTTTTTTATTTGGGTTATTTGTCCCTGACAGATTGATGTAAGACTAGAGGTGAATTCGCAGGATTTTTTTAAAAGCAATGGTACATTATTATCCTGTGAATTCACCTCTAGTCTTACATCAAAATTTATCTCTGACAAAGCAATGGTACATTTTTTTCATAAATAATGGTAAATTATTGTGACCATGGGTAATTTATCTATGTAAATTATTGTGACCATGGTAAATTATCTATATAAAAAAATAGGTACATATTTATAAAGAAAAAAGGTACATTATTTATGAAAAAATAGGCACACTATTTATAGAAAATAGGTACATTATTTCTATATAACAAAATAGAAACGTTACTTTTGAAATTAGTTCTATAAAAAAAAAAATAGTTACATTATTTATGAAAAAAAAAAAAATAAGCACATTATTTTATGAAAAATATAGGTACATTATTTATGAAAAAATAGACACATTATTGTATGAAAAATAGGTACATTATTTATGAACAAATAGGCAAGCAATTTATAAATATAAAAAAGGGGTACTAATTTGCCTATATTTTGTAGGTATAAGAATTTACCCAGATTGTATAGGTAAATTAACTATCCATAATTCTTTTTTAGTTTACTAAGAATTAATTACCTTAGTTTGTTGAATTTTAATGTACCTAGAAAATGTAGGTAATTTAGAGAACCTAAAACAGAGGGATCAAGAACTATAGGGAGCAAAAACACATTCTTTCCCTTTGAAAAATTTAATTTCAAACCTCTGGAATTTTTTATAAAAAAATTATGTGACCAATATTAATTTAAAATTTATAACAGTAAATGATCAAGTAGTCAAATTGGGAAACATTCCAAAGAGTACCAACTTATATTTGATTTGAAAAAAAGAGGGGAAAAACTAACTTAAAAATCCCTAAATCTATGCAAAATTGAAACACCATTAATGTGCATATTGGTAAACACTAATTAGGGGTATTTTGTAATTTGAAAAAGTACAATAAATTATTTTTTAAGCTCAGGTTTAGGTACTTGATGAGTTGGATCCTAGTCATCGGATTTTACTTATAAAAATTGGGTTTTATTTATAGAAAAATAAAATGATAGGTTGTAGATAGAACATAATTAGTTTGAAGGGGAAAAGTCATATTTACTATAAATAAAAAATAAAAGAATTATTATTTCAATGTACGAACCTTTTTTCTGGCGGCGTAGAATTGCAGCAAACAACGGGGACTTGCCTTGAATTTTTGTGTTCTTCTCAACTGCTTTTTCTTTTATTAGCTTCACTATCTCAACAAGCCCTTTTTCAGTGGCCAGATACAAAGGGGACTTTTGTTCCTTATTAGTGTAAAGTGAAACGGCAGGATCGGCCTCTATCAAACACTTGGCTACTGATTGGTGCCCTCGAATTAGAGCCTCGTGCAGGGCAGTGTTTTCCTCATTATTTTTCATCCTCAGCAATGTCAATATATCACCATTATTTTCAACGTCTATTGTTCCTCGTGCTTCGCGAAGAAGAGTATTTGTTGTCGTATCTATATCCTTGGATTTGGCTGCAATGTGGAGCGCGGTATCGCCTTCAAAGTTTTTCTCTAACAAAAGGGGCTTGTGTTGTTGTAAGATCTCGGCTGCTAGTTCGGCATGGCCGGAGCTCACAGCTATGTGAACAAACGTGTTATTCTAGGGGCTCCGTCGAGACAGCAACTGAACGCGAGCATTGGGATCCTGAAGCTTCTTTTCAATAGTGTCGTGAAATCTATTTGTGTTGCCCTGAGTAGCATAGCTGTACAGCTGCTGGTACAAGTGCAAGTTATCAGCATCACCATCTGTTTCCTCATAGTCCAGTGTTTGATGATGCGCTTCCATTTCCTGTGATGGTAGTTCCGTTACAGTCCGTATCTCCCTATTAGTTAACGGCTCCATATATGGACTTCAAAGTTGTTTTAGATTCCGATCTGCACAACGTTGCAGAGATCGATCAATGAGTGACTATGAGTGCCCTCTTAATTATATCAACTCAACTATATATATATACAATCACGGTCTGAAACGTACTTACCGGAAAATGATGGAGGTTGAGGAGCCCGAGAGAGAGAGAGAAAGAGAGAGAGAGAGAGAGGGAGAGAGAGAGGGAGAAGAATAGCTTGCTTCACTTCAAATGAATACGGTACTAGTTCTACACTACAACTCAATATGTCGCTTGGGAAACCCTAAACTGCATTATTTGTTAGAAAACTAGTAACCCAGAAACATTTTCTAAAGAAAAGAAACAAAAGATCCCAGTTGTTAGCTTAGCAAACCAGAAAACAAATATACATGCAGCAAACTTATAATATGATTGTATTAAAAAAGAAAAGGGAAAAGTAAATCAATAATGAATGTATGTGTATGAACACGTTTTGAAATATCCGTGATCTGAAAAAACGATAATACCCTCGATATTTTGTCGATATTATTGATATTTTAGGATTACTTATATCGCTGAGGCCTACCAACAATGTGAGAGAGAAACAGATTCATCTTGATGATGCATATGTCTAGTCGCATCAATACTCAGTGCACGTGATAGTACTGCAAGATGTGAACCTTTTGATACTTTTATATCAACTTTAATTATTACTTGTATGCTGAGAGGCCTACCAATAATGTGAGAGAGAGACAGATATTCTTCATTATTCATGTTGATGATGCACGTCATACTACGGTAAAATGTGAACCTTTAAAAAACGAAAGCAAAAACCATACCAAAATATTTTCTAAAGAAAGAAAACAAAAGATCCCAGTTGTTAGATTAGCAACCCAGAAATCAAAGATTTTAGATTCTGAATAGACAGAATGCTATTGTAAAAAAAGGATAATAAGTTCAAAAAGAAAAGGAAAAGAGTAGCAGATGAGTTAATTACACTTTAACATCCCGAGAAAATTTAATTAACAAAAAGAAGTTGGACAAAATCCTATTGAGAAGTACATATTAAAACTGACAAATATACATGCAGCAAACTTATGATAAAACTTATGAAAGGAACTAAAAGTTTTCTTCTCATTTTTTGACTTGGTTAGTCCAAATTATAATATGATTGTATTAAAAAAGAAAAGGGAAAAATAAATCAATAATGAATGACGAAGCAAGGAGAAAAGAAATGAATTTGGAGTTAAAAAGTAAGTACATATCATTGTTGATGTCGGTGAATGGTTTATTAGCCTCTTCATTGCCGTTCTTATCAGGATCGTACATGCGGGCAAGCTTTCTGTAAGCCCCTTGGGAGACTTCTCACATGTAAAGCGATGAACAAAAACGTACAAGTGTTGCACCGACAAAAACATAAACATTGTTAAGAGCAAACATTAAAAGAGAGACGGAAAACTGATCACCTTAGGAAGAACTGCAACATTAATAAAGATATTCTTACAAAACAAACTTTAGTTTATCCACAATGAAAGATTCTTAACAAATACTGAGATCACAACAATACAAATTATGGCTGTAATTCTCAACATAGACATTAAGCATCCACTGTTAACTTATTGAATCTTGAACACTAACCTTGGTGAGTTGACATAACTCTTTTCCTTTGCGGCTTGGGTATAAAATCAATGAAAAAAATGATCATCACTCCAACTCCAACTATTGTTAAAATAATTGACATCATGATATGAATCTTGATACCAAGTATAAACTGGATAACCAACAGCGATTCATCATTTCCGCTGTATTAAAATTAAAAAAAAGGTATTAGTCATAAGAATCTTTATTAATAAGGATTTGATACTTAGAGTATTTTTGTTTGGGTTTGATACATAGAAATCAAATTTTGTTGTGGATATGCCTGAAGAGAAGGCCCAGATTCGTTGGGTTGTCTAAATTATAAACAAAAAATACAATTTTACCTTTTTTGTTTAAAAGCTTGGCTAAAATCAGATCTTAGCCTCCCTCTGTCTCTCTCTTGACAGGAAAACGGGGTAGCCGCATACCCAATTTCACGGCGACTTTCCGTCACCGTAACGACCTTATCTCGCCTTCGTTCCTTAATGAAAGTTGCTCACCATCACCTCCTCTATCATCTCCCCAAAATACCAAACCCAAACAGCCAGCATTCGTGGCCAATTTTATTTGGAACAGTCCATCAGAAGAGGAAAATTGATCACCTTAGGAAGAACTGCAACATTAACAAAGCTATTATTACTGTTCAAACCAAAATTAATACAGTATAATTTCTACAGTTAATGGGCCAATTTTGTGGTTAATTAACTGAGGCCCAACCACTAAGAGCTATTTCAATGTCTAAAAGGGCCCAATTGATGCCTCTGCGCCCCAGGCCCTTCGGACAGAAGCCAATCGCGAACACTGACCAGCGCATGGTCAACCAGCACTTCGAACAAAACTAATTGATGCTACAGTGCCCCATGCTACAGTACATCATTTCGGGTAGAATTGTGTCTGATGCTACAGTTCCACTTCGGACAGAAAGTGTCCGAAGTTATAGTAAAAACCAATTAATGTATTAATAACCAAGCTAAATGGGTTTTAATTACAGCACGTGGTAAAATCACCAATGCCCAGGCTATTCTTAACTGATTTAATTATTTAATAGTCCGTGTTAACTAATTAAAAAGGTGCAATTTGAGCTTTGGGTCAAAAACAAGGACAATTCGAACCGTTATGCTTCTACAGTGTCACACATTAATTTGCTCCAAGTAACAATAAAGAAATTTGATTGTTCAGTCTTTGGCAGATAAAGAATGGTAAAATATCCAAGCTGACCAGTTACATCACATTTTGCACATTAATCACAATATTCAAGACTGGAAATCACCATAAACTTGGAAGACATGTGTGCACTATCTTGTGAATTCTTTATGGTTTGTAACAGCAATGTCCATCAATCAACCATCCATTTTACTGAAGACCTTGAAGCATATAAGTAGAGGAAGAGAGCTCAGTGTTAGAGATCCAACAGTGAATCAATCAAAGCTATTTTGAACAACCTTCAAAATACGCTTACTCTCGACAACCTCGAAGTAACCCAGACTCAAACACTTGCAAAACATCTCACAACATACCAAAGCCAAGACTTGAATTGAATCCTTCTCAGTCTCTGAATTCCCAGTTCACAACTCTTGATTGGAATTCTATTTTTTTCCCAAACACACACATTATCTAATTCCCAATTGACCATTCCTGATTGGAGTTACTTTGCTATTGTTTGTAACCTATACGCTATGCCAACATCGCTTGGTATGATTTGATAGTTGGTCTCGATTTCCAGCTTATTTAAATCAAACTCCTATCTATGGTTCGGACAAGTTCTGATTGCAAATATCTCTGACAAATCCTCATCGGATACTTCCTGCATCGTCTCAAGTAGAATGCAGTTCTAACCGATAAGATATGTTTCTGAATGATAAGGCTTTTTCTGGCTTTATCAGACCTTGCTTTACTTTTATTTAAGTTCATTGCAGTCCCAGATCTCTCTCATTTCACTTCTTTCACCAACAAGTAACCGCTAGTTGCCAAAGTACAACCTGCTAGTGGCCAGGGGCATCATAGTGTTCAAAACACGATGAATATATTTTTGGCACGCTCGGTGGGACCACTTATATGGTCAATAAAACTTACACGAAAATCTATTTGGGAGAAACTTCTCGTACTCCAATAAACCCTCCTCATGAAAGCAATGTTGACGCTATGGAAATTGAAGCTGAGAATGTTCAAACAATGCCGCCTGAACTAACTCTAATGGAACAACTAATAGTCCAAATGTTAAAGAAGATGGACAATAACACCAAGGCTATCCAAAACCTATAGGAAGATTGCATTCGCGCAATAGCTTCTCCAAGCCAAGAAAAAGGCAGCCCAAAGAGGACCAACCTGACCTCACAACCCTTTGGAATGCTTGTATGAACGTCAACTTGGTGTCAAAACCATACTAGTGGCCTAGGAGCTCTCAATATGTGTCCTCCTCCTTTATCTATTCCAAATACTGGACCAATCCTAGGTCCAAATGTGCTGGAAAACACAAGCTATTGTCCAACCAAACAATGGCAAGGAAAAACATAAAAGTGTCCGAACAAGTGACATAGAAGGTGATTCAGACGAAATACTAGCCTCCAAAATAGGTAGCTGTTTTTCCTCGAGTAACTATGAGAAATGGAAAAAAGGGGCAGAGGGAAAGGGAAAGGGAAATAAACAGTTCAGACCAATAAAAATGCCAATCATACTAGCAATGGCAGCCATGGTAACTATGGCAGGGATGGTATAGCTGAAGAACAAAGCCCACCTACTCCTATGAATCTACTTGAGAATTTTAAAGAAGAAATGAAAGAAAGAATTCCTTGTATGGGACAAGCTAATCTCATCATACCAAATAACAATGACCAACATATGGTTATGCAAAATGAAGTGGCTGAACTAAAGGTTATTTGGTGGCTCATTATATGGTCAAGCATTCACTTGGTACTCCAATTTGGCCTCTAACTCTATCATGACTTGGGATCATATGGAATCCAGTTTTTATGACCAATATTACAGACCTGAACCAGAGGTCACTATTAATGATTTAACAAATCTTAAACAATATGAACATGAATTTGTTCATGATTTCATTGCTAGGTTCAAGAAAATAAGAATGAAGTGCAAAATCCCCATGGAAGAGAAACATTTCACCATAATGGCAAAGAATGCCCTAAGAATCCCTCTAAGAATGAAGTTTGATGACATAGAGTTTGCTAATGTTCAAGAGATTGCTCAAAAAGTTGGAAATTATGAGTTGCTGTTCAAGGAGGATATCCAAAGAAGAGGCTATTCTAAGCCAACATACAGCTCCAAGCCTGCTTTCTTCAAAACTCAAAATCACGTCCATCAAGTGGAAATTTTTGGGGAGAACGTTGAGGAAGCTATGGAATGCATGGATGTGGAAGTAGTAGTGGCTGAGCTAGTGCCACAAAAGAATCCAATCATGTACAAAACTGTAGTAAGGCCACCAGAAGAGCAAAGAAATGCTTCACCACCTACTGGAGGTTTTGTGCCTTACAAACAGAATCACAAGTCATACTCCTTCAACCTGTCTATTGCAGATAGTATTTTTGATGAATTAATCGAAGGCAGAGCTCTCAAACTTGGTCCAAATTAGAAACTCCCCATACTTGACAAATTAAAGGGAAAATCATACTGCAAGTACACAATTCCTTCTCCCACTACATAAAGAATTGTGTCCAATTCAGGGATTTGGTGCAGGATATGATCATCAAGGAGACATCAAGATGGAGAAAGCACCACCTGATGCAATGGAGAGGGATCATTTTCCAAACATGCTTGTGACCAT